AAACATAATTTTGTTATCTTACATGAAGTCGAAAATATACTTCTTAGTTAAAACCTAAAAAAAAGAATGTGTAGTAAATAAACGTTCAGTGCTAGATCTAGTCAGAAAGATGGGCAGCATCAAAGCTCATTTTGCGATGGAAAACATTTAGAAAGGTAACTGTATAAACAAAACATATTTTAAAGTATATATACAGAGTGTGAATCGTATAAAAGTAGGCTTCGGTTTCTGGATCTGTTGAAAATGTGCTGCGTAAGATATTGAACTAGTCCCCACCCCCTTATAAATAAATTTTCATCTAAACGTTTTTCAGAAGTAAAACATGTCAGAATGATCTAAGAATCAACAAGACAGACTTGTGCAGTATGCATACTATCAAACTTATGTCAGATGTTTCAGTTTAAAATGTACCAATGAAACAAATATATCGAATACATTTCTCGAATTACTTTTCAGAGGTGTATAATACTGGAGGTACTGTTGAAGACATGTTTCTGGAGGAAACAATGTCAAACACAGAGGCTGAGTACGTTATATGAAAACGATTTTTAGAGCCTCACCACGCCGTTACAGTTCATGTCGCCACTTTAGGTCACGCTCTATCTGACGACCAAATATCCTGACATTAACATTGCAGCTTAGTTTCAATCACAAAATGCAAGGCTGTCATGTCCAAAGCATACCACTCTTCCTTACTGTTTTTTTTATAATTAATCTAGTGTAGGAAAAACACTGGTTCCCAATGACCATTTCAAGAATCTGATCGCACAGAGATCCATAGGCACTGCGTCCAGTGAATTGATCGGTATATCTTCGTATGGAATAGTGTGAATACGTGTTTAATTTCCCAAATGACTGAGGTATACGAAATCTGAACGGATAAGACACGGAGCCAACTTTTGTTGCTTTTCCAGACGAATATTATTTTTTCTTATGTTGCATACTGTTGCCCGAGATATGTGGACGTCTTTTGATACCGACCTTTGTGTTCTTAGATCTTTCACCTATTACAAGATACCGGACTTTGCTGGTGTATAACCTGTGTATAGCATAGTGCTCTCAGTTGATCCATATGCCTTTGTTTTCTAATGCCATTAAATGCAAAGGAATTCTCCGTCTTTGAAATTACAAATCTACGATCTGAACACCTCTTTATGACCTGAGTGTAAGAATATCTTGTACCGGAAAGGGATGTTACACACCCTTCTTAAAAGTGATCAATTTACGGTGACATCAAACTACTCACGAAACACCAAAAAAAAAATGTCAAAATGTAGTTCTAGTACACACCGTTCCCCCGCGACCTTATATTGACTGTGATTGTCACGTTACTTACTAATTTGCACATTCAAATGTAGGTTTAACATAACGTTAACAACCCTCTATATAGCTCTCATTATGTGGGAACAGTGAAACACTGACTAATTTTAAAGTACATACTTGTAGTTAGATGCCCAAACTGGACTCTATTCATATTTCCTAGCAGGTGTTTTAGGGGCTTTAGTTGTCGTTCTCAGGAAATATTCCAGTTTAAGAGTAAACTAAAAACAAATTTCTGATCTAACTTCAAAATAACTTTACATAAACTGAGTCTTATTCTCACTGTACAGCTTCTAAACGATTTTACTTACCGTCTCTTACCAATTTCTGGACCTGATGACGCATATGGTCATGTTGCTGTCGCCACCAGCGCCAGAAGAACGCCGTCTCGACATAAATAAACCTTTTCTTTGGATCATGACGTAGTTCTTGTATTACAGAGTCCAGGATGTACTGAACACCTGCTCTTTGTATGGTGTTGTTTGCTAAACGAGAAATTCAAATAATATTAATAAAACAAGAACAAGATATCGATAACATAAAATATTATTTTTAATAGCGATCAGTAGAATGTTGTCCAGGTGAAATATTTAACTTGAATAACGAAAACAATAATGTAAAAAAAATATATATATATATTTTGTAATATTTCACATATTTTGAAAACCAATTAATGACAACACACGCGTTCACTAAACTTACAAAGAACAACAATAAATATGCTTAGTGAATAATTGCCTCAGTGTGGACTGTTGGTTAAAAATGACTACCTTTATAGAAACAACAATGCTGAAAGGATCCCACATGTAAAACCACGGAGTGTACTCGTCACTAGTAAAATAACCACAAAGTGGAGGTGATTATGTTATTACTAGCTTAAGTGTGTTGATAGGTAACTAACCGGATATTAAAAATCGCTCTTTACGGAATACAGTTTGAATACTTGCTCAATTATTCATGCCCTAGATGCTATGGCAGTCAAAAAGAATCTTGTTTATAATGATTGTTAAAATTAACCTCTTCTATTTTTTAACCGATCATTCTGTGATAATGTACCATAAACAACTTATACAAGAAAACGTAAATTGGGCTGTTAAACATCAAAATGGATTCGCGTATCAAGCCGAATTGGACTGTCGACTTTTTCCGTCGAGGAATAAAAATATGAGCTTTTATCAAATCAGAATGAAGATGAAAACCAATATTTTCTATTTTTCTTTTAAATTAGTATTTATTTAAAAGGGTAAAATTAAAAGAGGTGGTCACATCAACCAATACAAAGTGTATTATCTGAAAATCTATAACAAAACATATGTATGTATTATCTCAGAGCTAATAGTTTGACGCTGTCAAAGGCCTTACAGTAATGAAACTGCAAGACGAGTTCATTAGGTTTATATCTTAATATATATTTTAGCAATGCCAGCTAGATTAAACGATAAAAATTGTCTTTCAATGGAGTTTTATTAGGTGTATACAATGACTTGGTATAGCTTTTTTACATATACATACATACATACATATATATATATATACCCATATACTATTTCCTTCCTAAATGTAATATAAGGTTATTTAACTTTACACTTAAATTTAGTATCCAGATTTTCTTCATATTTCAGCTGGCGTGTATTGTGAAATACAAACACATAACCATATTATTAGTTCACAAAACATACACTTAGTCTGTATATATATATGTTACTCAGCTTAAAGATCAGACAGCTATTTTATCTGAAGAACAGATTACCCAATTTTACCCTTAGTCGACTAATTCTATTTGGACACGCTACTCAGTTTTACATTGAATCAGTTATTTTAGTTGATCAAGCTGGTCAACTTCAACTTCGCTCAGCTATTCCACAAGTTTCTTAGACATTTGTTTCATCTGGACACAATACTCATTTTTTTTTATCCTCGTTAGCTGTTTCGCCTGAACAACTTTTTCAGCTTTATACTGAATCAGTTATTCCATCTGAACAAGCTTTTCAGTTTGGTCATAACATGGGCATTTCTTTTGAAAAAACTAATAAGTTTTACTTTCCTGTAAACTATTTCTCTATTGCTTTCAATATTTAGAAGAAAAATCTTGCCATTAACAAGTAATGATATCTTATTCTGTGCTAGATTTATCAATGGTGTCATTATAAACAATTTCATTTGATACTATTTCTTGCAACAATTATCAAACTTCGTATAAGTTGACTACATACGAGCATGTTTTGATAAACCATTTTAAATACCTTAACTACTTCTTACACGATTGTTTTAAAACACCATATAAAAATGAAAGAACAAAACACATTACATATAAAGAGAGATAGACAGATTAAGGTATTGCAATATCCGTACTAAATGGTCTCGTGTCACTATTCTTATGTTGTTTCTGAACAGAATTAAACACTTTAAGATTAGACACAAAATAATAGTTTAATACCGGTAATAGATTACGATAAATAATCATCCAAAAATGGTAAAATTCGTTGCTCTATTCTTGTTGAGAAGGCAAAGCATATGGTACACAAAGAAGTTAATATTATACGAATACGTCACCTTGTGCGGAGTAATTAGAACTGCGACTGGTTTCATTACTCTAGGATTTAAATCCTTAATATGCTGATAAAATCCATTTCTACTTCAATACCCTGCAAGAGGAACTACTAGTAATATGATAGAAAATTAAGGGGCAAAGTTAATCTCAATTTTGTCTTAATATACTCGTATTTATTGTTTCATTATTTAACATGACTCTTTTTGTAGATCATATGTTGCCTGAACTTGGCATTTTGGGTTCGTTGACTTTCTTTTTTCTTTTTTTTTTACATATAAGATCATTATAACGCAGATCCCTTTATTGTAATTTGACTCTTTCTACAAGCTATCTTCCCAGGGTTTACAACGCTAAAAACTGGGTTTCGATACTCACGGTGGACAAAGCACAGATAGCCCACTGTGTAGCTCTGTGTTTTACAACAGACAAACAGAAAGTCCATAATAAGGTGTTTTGGTTAGTTATTAATTAAATCATAGAGTACAGATATTTCGCATTTAGAAAATTCTATGAAAATTAACTTTCTTCAGTTTGATTCAACAGTTTGTAATCTGTAGAAGTTTAAAATATCTCTATTGTTTTTATAGTATATATATATATACCTCCGTAGAAATACTGGTCTACAGTTTTCAGCCATCCAACGTCATCATGGGTGTGGCAGATGAGATGCACATTCAACATTCCAGGTTTTCCTTGAGGACAACTCTGAAACAGAGGTCATTTTGTAAATGTTCTTAACATCCATTTGGCTTACGAGATGATTTGTAATGATAGCATTTTAGAGTTTGTATTCTGGGCTAAATTTATCTCATATTAAAACAGTGATATACACAACGCATTTTCAGATTCATAACATAATCCACCCCCACCCTTTGGCTGAGTGGTATATTTCATACTCTGCAACACCAACATTCGGGTTTCAGTACCCGCAGTAGGCAGAGCACATATATTTCCTTGTGCAACTTTGTGCTTAATAACAACAACAACAAAAAAAAAAAAACACATAAGAGAATTTGATTGTGTTTACGTGTGTCTGTATATAATTTTGTGTTAAGTTATTCGTTTGATTGTAAGTGCGTATTTGTTAGGGTACGTTTAAGTAACTGTTTCAATGTGTTAATGTGACTATTTGTGCTTATTCGTATATTTCTTTATGCAGTAGTTTGTACATACTTATTTTCATTTAGTTTCTGCTAATGTTGCTTGTTTGTATCTCGTATCTACTTGTACACATCATTATGCTGCTTAAACGTATGTGATTATGTCTCTATATGCTAACGTATCCACTAGAATGTGTGTCTTTATCTACTTGAATCGAAACTCCGAAAGTTGTCCATCACTTAGGAGATGTTTGTGAATCCATGATAAGTAATTAGTCAAGTGTACAAACAGATCACATCATATCATTCTATAACTTAGACAAGCTTTTAAACTTTTAAACAGATCAAATCAAATCATTCTATAACTTAGACAAGCTCTAAAACTTTTAAACAAATCACATCAAATCATTCTATAACTTAGACAAGCTTTAAAACTTTTAAACAAATCACATCAAATCGTTCTATAACTTAAACAAGCTCTAAAACTTTTAAACAAATCACATCAAATCATTCTATAACTTAAACAAGCTCTAAAACTTTCAAACAGATCACATCAAATCATTCTATAACTTAGACAAGCTTTACAGCTTTCATACAGATCACATCATATCATTCTATAACTTAGACAAGCTTTTAAACTTTTAAACAAATCACATTAAATCATTCTATAACTTAAATAAGCTCTAAAACTTTTAAACAAATCATATCATATCTTTCTATAACTTAGACAAGCTTTAAAACTTGTAAACAAATCATATCATATCATTCTATACCTTAGACAAGCTTTAAAACTTGTAAACAAATCATATCAATATCATTCTATAACTTAGACAAGCTTTTAAACTTTCGTAGCTCGACAGTGTTCCATTTTGCATGTACAAGATGTATAAAAAATATATTTCCTCCTTTTTACGAGCTTACAACGCTAAAATCCGGGGTTTGGTTTCCCGTACTAAATACATCACGTAGTCCAATGTGGCTTTGATCCAAAAGAAACAAACAAGTATATAAACTTTTTTTTTGAACTAGATTAAATGTTACTGAATTTATATCAAAATATATATGGTCTCAGGTTTCATGAAAAACTCTCTATTTGCCAGGAACTTTAACGAAAATGTAGTTTCTTAAAAAAAAAAACTTCTAAAACATAGAACTAGAGGCCTTCTATATACTGGAGCTGAAATTATTGCTATTTTCGTGTGTGAAGATAGCCTAAAGTAGATGAAAACATTATTACAACTCGTTTTTAATGTCCCTGATGTACTGTACATACTGTTTAATAACTAGACTGCTCAGTGTGTTATAGATGTGTCTTAAAACGACAACAAATTTGAGAGTTGTAATTTAATTACTCGCAAAATACACAAATAATATGTATTTATACATGATTGATATTTTTCAGCGTATATTTATAAATTCTAAGTAAACAAGAAGAGTTCTTAAATTGTACTCAATACAGACGCACGTATGGCCGAAAAAAATGACCTGTCTCTCTTTTACAGAATCTCCTTACAAAGGAAATAGCGATTCCATAACAAAAGTTGATAATCGTGACCAGCAATAAATAGTTTCAAATGCATCACATCAAGAAATATCGTTTTAAACCAATCTACTAATGGAAGTTTGTGATAAGATAACTTTGTATTTGACTATGTTTTCAGAAAGATTCAGGTTGGTACTATTACATATGCATGTTTCTGTGTAGATTGCACATTTTCCAGAAAGTTATTTGAAAATTAGTTTAATTTTCCTTGGATTCTCAACTCAGAACATGTTTTTTGTACAACCTCTTCTGAATTTAATTATTCAGATCATTCAACCGGAAATATTGCTCTCTGGAACAAAATAAATAATATTGTGACAACCAACCATCTTTTCAAGTGATTCATTGAAATAATTCCATTTCAACCACTCATCTAATACTTGGGTCTGCAATTAAACATATAGGGTTTTTATTGAGAGTGTGTTTTATCAGAAGCTTCTTTCTTGATCAAATGTCTTATGATCATAACAATTGATCTAAGAACTTTGTTTGTCGATGGTACTCATTGATAGAGTAAAAAAAATATATATGTACTTTATGTGACATTTTATACTCGAAGCTGTTTGGCCCCGAAATTTGTAGTTAAAATATATATCTTTCAAATTCATGTACGTTTCTACGTATTATAAGTTTATCGACTTTTCATTCTATTTGTTTCATTATTGTTTCATAGTGTGTGTGTGTGAAGTTCCTGTATTTCACAGAGAACGTATATTTCGTTTTTATTAGCTTTCCAACATAACTTGAGCATTTCCCACCTGGTTTCCTAAAAGTTTCTTGTCTTACCTTCTTATCATCAAAAAATATGTAAACTTTGCCATTAATAAAGTAGCAAAACACACTATTCCATTACGCTTTGTTTATTCCAAATCTTGTTTTTAATATTTTAATGTATCCGATCTCACAAAATATATAATCTTTAGTATCGTAATTGATTAAGTTTTTAAAAGAAATAAAAAGGATAAATAAACAAAACTATGTAGTTTTTCAGACTCTGAAAAAACCTTTGTACGTAAATATATTGTGTACCCTTAAATATCCGTACTTTGAACTTTTACTAGTGGGATTTGATCACAACATCTCCAGAACATAACATTGTACTTGGTTGTTGCTAAGGCAAATAAATAATGATATTTCAGGACATATTCTCAAGATTACATAAGTGGTTAAGTGCTGTAATTCGAGCCTTGATATTTCAATTATAAACGTTGAAGATGATTTTGAAAACGTGTTACTTATTTAGTGCGAAACACACGTGATGAAAGGGAGATACACAAAATATAAGTCCAAACCATGTTATCCAAATGAAGGACTAAACAACTCTGAAATTTTAGAATGAAACTTATCATAGACTAGTTGTTCCGTTTCGTGAAACTAGTTTAACAACTGTGCTAACATAGTTTTGATATTATGGCGCAAGTTTCCTTCTAAGTATTCGACTCTATGTCTTTGTTTACAAAGTTTACTTACTTGGTAACCACATGACGGTCTGTCTTGTTTCAAAGGTTTAGAGGTACCCATAGAAAGTAGGAGAGCAATTATTACTAGCTGGGATAAACACATCTTTTTTTCAGGTTATTCTAACGCCGAATTGACGAGATCTCTCACCAACTCCAACTGGTCTCCCAACTACAACACACATACATGCGTTCTACTTTACGAACGAATTGACTTTCCTGATTGGTCAGTTATGATGAGAACATTGATCTGCTGGCCTTGAAATCCTTGTTCACTTATCTTGAGTGTTTCTACTAGTGATAAGCAGCGATAAGATATGATGAAACAAATATATGATTCCCATCTGAAGGATTACTACCATAAAATAAGTCAGTTTTACTTTGCACTCATTTTAGAACTAATAATGTAATAAAATGTATTAAAACGCCTGGTTTGAACATGTGCACTAAATTCAGTTATGTTTTACGAAACGAAAATGTCCATTAGGTATAATGGAAATGATTAAACCACTCAGCAAAAAAAAAAAAAAAAGTTAACTACAAATATATATATTAAATAACCTTCTTAATATAATAGTGGTTATCGTATGCAATAACTGTGTTAAAAATTATGAATAACTTATAATAAAGAGAAGTAGATTTAACATAGCGTAAACAACCCTCTATATAGGAAATATTCCAGTTTGACAGTAAACCAAAAACAACTTTCTGCTCCAACTTCAACAAATGGACTAATGTTTTTCCAAGTCCACACTATGTATACATAAATGTCTAACATCATGCTACTCACGTTGCGAATTTATATTTGGTATGTTACTTTTCAAATATATGTTTTATTTAATAGCATGTGTTTGAACACTGTACTTTAAAAGTTAGAGTAAAGTTTATAGAAAGAGAAGGTGCTTTTTATTTATTCTATTTTGATGACATTAGTTAATATGATATTTTATTAAGAACTAAGAACGTGAACACATATGTAAGTGAGCGGAAACGAAAGATAGTAATTAGATTTAATAACGAAGTACTCTACGATAAAGAAATGGACTGGTGTTTTTCGAGTCCACTCTCTGAGTACATCAGAATCTAACGTCACGCTATTCTTTCAAGTATTTCTCAAGAGGTGTGCTGATTAATACCAAGTGTTTGCACAATTGTATTTTACCATTCAGAGCATTTTATCTCACTGTTTCAAAGAGTTGATAATACCGAAAAAAATGGACAAGATTAAAGTTAAAAAAAAAGAGGGCTATCTATTTATTTTATTTTAGTGACTTTACTTAACATGATATTATAAGAAATTAAGAACGTATATACAGATGTAAGTGTACGAAAATGAAAGGTGTAGTATGTTAAATAATGGAAACTATTGAAGACTTGAGACCATAAGTTATCGTAGTATTGGCGTCCCAGAAATAATTGCCCCCCAGTAGCACAGCGGTATGTCTGCGGACTTACAACGCTAGAAACCGGGTTTCGATACCCGCAGTGGGCAGAGCACAGATAGCTCATTGTGTAGCTTTATGCATAATTCCAAACAAACAAACTATAAACTAGAAAATGTTTATTATTATTTGTTTCGTTTGCATAAGATAATATTGAAAAGAAACTAAAGGGGTGATAGAGACTTATGATGATGTTATTGTTGTTGTTCTTTTTGTCACTTTATATTATAAGATACATTTGGTGAACATAATTCATCAGTACGATTAAAACGAGATAGAAATAAATCCAATTAATATTCAATTTTTCTCAGAGTTTTCCTCTGGCATTATTGAGTGTTTTTGAACGATACAGAATGTTATTAGAACGAGGTGATTCTTTTAAAAAAAATTAAAATTAACGCCCTTAAGGGATTAACCTTAATAACTAATTAATAAACAAATCTTCTCTGATCTTTCGCTCACATTTTCTGAATTAATTTTCGAAAATTTACTATGCAAATATGGAATTTTAAGTTTCAAAGGGTGTAGTACTATGCAAATATGGAATTTTAAGTTTCAAAGGGTGTAGTACTATGCAAATATGGAATTTTAAGTTTCAAAGGGTGTAGTACTATGCAAATATGGAATTTTAAGTTTCAAAGGGTGTAGTACTATGCACTAGGAGACACATTGTTGTCATTGGGAGTTTGTTTCTATAAGTTTTCGAAAAATACGAGTTAAAACCTCAAAATCAGAACGTTTGCTTAATGCATTATGAACCTGAATTTGTTTAGTTTTATTAGTGTGTTTAATATCGGAGTGAAGGTCACTCGCACATTAACAAAATTAAATAATCAGTGAAAGTTTCGTTCACAAGTTTAACCTTGTACAACAGGGCAAACAGAACAGTGTTAATAGCAGATCAGAAAAAGACCACTTAGGACTAAATGATTGAAACAAGTATGTGTATTCTATCAATCTGAGTATTATTATTATTATTGAATTTTCAAAACATACGTATTACGAAAATATTTTGTAGGTGTTCCAACTTACCTTCATCCTTAGCTTTCTAATAATCATGGTTTACATAAGTTGTGGACTATATCTTGGATACCTTTGGATTGAGCACAAAAAATACTCCTTCAAACCATTCGTGTAAATTTGGTGACGCCAGAATAAACCAGCAAAATGTTCTGATTAACGGTATTTTATTATTATCTCATTTCAATCGTTCTTTTTTTACATATTTTATCAACTGAGTGTTCAGTAGACATCTAAGAGAACCATCTTATCTCCTCATGATGTCAGTAACATCAGTTAAAAACTAAATACTTAGTATTTAATTACAATTATACATTAAATTACCTTTAGCTGGGAAAACGTAGAAAGAAAAACGAAGCGAATTTTTTTACTGTTTAAAGGAATTAACACCTAAAATACTGTGCCATATCGGGTAATTTATACGGAATCATAATGAAGAATTATAATATAATAAATATAATTGAAATTAAGGCTACTTTCATTGTATTTATTTTAGAGTAGAAAGTGTCTTCGTTTTAATGATCAAAATTAATTTTCTGTTAACTTTCTCAAGTTTAATAAAACGGATGACATTTTGCTTTCCTTATCTGTGTTTTTATTAAATCAAGTGTAACACCACTGCACGTTGTTTCAAATTTGTTTTCAGTTTCTGGAATAAAACAAATTTATGTATTTAATTTGATAGTGTGTTTGTATCTCTTTGCTGCTTGTGAAACAAAATAGTTTTTATACACGATAGGTGATCAGAGAAAAACTGGATTTTTTATATCATATGGGCGAGGCGTGTCACTGTGAGCAGCGTGATAGGTTGTGAATCAAAGGGTAAAATGTTCGAGCCGCGAAACATAAACATGCTGTACACTTTTAAATGAGCCCATGTTAAAAAGTGACAGTCAATTCCATTATTCGGTTGGATAAGCCACACACAAACACATACACACACAAAAAAACAAAAACAACCTCGTGGCAGAGGATGCTATTGCCTGCCTGTTTTCCTTCTAGTCAATAGTTCACAACTGGAAACATCTATACGTGAACCCTAATGGACTTTGACTTGATGGCATTTAGCCAAGGTCTCGCACAATGTGATATCGTGATTGAAAATTCCAA